CTAAGAGGTAACCTGCATGTGACAGTGAAGCACTTAGTCAGGAGGAACATGAGAATGATATCGCTGTCAGAGCAAGTCACAGAAATCAGTGGTGGGAAACCAGAACTAGATAACATTAAATTAGCAACAAGATGTAGGCTTTTTCCTGTGGAAGATGACTAAACATGAGAAGAAAACATGGAGGATGTGGTGGATGTGGTACATTTTTCAGACCTCACATCTCCAATCAAAGTGGAAGATCCTCTTCAGATGCAAAGTTTATCTGAGCACATCTGGGGACAGCCAAGCCTCTGATACTCGGACTTCATGAGAATGTGAAACTGCCTGAGCACTGCAGTGTAGCCACACTTTTACCAGTGGATGTGTGCTCAGACTCTTTTGACACTAAAATCTCCCTGAAGGAAGTGATACCCTCCCTCCAGTGTGTCAGCTGCATCTCTCTGAATGCTGGTTTTGATAGCAATAAACTGTGTGTCATCACTCATTTACTCCATGCTCACTGCGTCGTGTGCCAGTTTGGATTAAAGCAAGGAGAGACATCTTAATTTGGAGACTTCTCTGTAGATATCATGTTCCTATAAAATTGCACACGTGCTGCTGGTTGCTGATGAAGGGACCTAGGAAGTCTTCAAAGCACGAGCTTGAAGTGTTTGTCAAAAGAAACAGCAAATTACCAGCTGGTTTCCCAGACAGCTGGATTTGGGACACAGGCTGAAAAGCACTGAGAATAAATATGCATGGAAAGAACCTAATAAAGCCCTCTCTTTTGCTGCCAAACAAATACATTTATTACTTGTATAAAATATTTATAATAGTATGTAGTAAGTTGCAGTCAGCTTTTTTTTTTTTTTTTTTTTAGAGGGGCATAAATTTTTCTGCCAGACTCCCAGATCACCACTGAGATGTGCAAAAAACCTATCAATCCTGCTGTATATTCATGCAGCTCTGCATAGGCTTCCACCCAGGGGAAGAATGGGTGCTAAGGGTGCGAGTGACCTGGGGCACTTAACAGCTTCTTTCTGAATTGTTTGACAAGGATGCAAACCTCTTCACCTCCAGGACAGCCAGTTATGCATACTTTTATGTCTACTTCTGCTTTGCTCTCGAGGCCTTTGATTTTATCTTTAAACCAGCAGTGTTTACGGTTCTCAAGATGATGTGTTCTGCTAAACAAGCTCCTTTGTCCCACAGTGTGGCTGACAAATCTGCTAGTGAAACAATTTTGCTATTCAGGAACTTCAGTTCTGCCTCCAACTTTTTCTCTGTCGCCTTTGAACTGCCACTGCTGCATTGATGCCTGCTCTGGCTCTGCCTGCCATGCATGTCATTGCTATAGCCCATTAAAAGCAGTTGCAGCCCTGCTTACCACTGGCTTCCTCCTTCCTTTGAAGCCGCTTTCTTTGACTGGTCTTAATTAATGCATAAGCTGGGAAAGTGCCTTCTTTCCTCCTTTCAAGATGTTTTTTGTTTCTTTGTTTTAGTTTCATGTCTTTGGCTGAATAGATGTTTCCAGTATGTTCTTTATGAAAATGAAAGGGAAATTGAAGCTTACACAACTTTTTTATTGGTGAAAGAAACCCAGGCCGTGGTCTTTTTTGACTGTGTTACCATTGCGTGCTTTTTTTTGACTCCATTTCTTCTCTCTATTCAGGAAAGCCAAGTAACATGATTAAAGTCTTCTTCCAACTCAAAGACTTTGACAGCAAACAAAGATGGATCACTTACCAACTGAATGAATCATGTACAGGAAACCAAGGCAAGTGTTAAACATATTTACTAGGGGAATCAGTTAAGAATGGTATGCTGAAGATCTGCAATTAATTAACAGCAGTTCCCTGTACTGAAACAAGAGATTGAAAAGCTATTAGATAATTAGTGAAATTCTATAAAGCTGCATTCCTCAAAGCAGCCACAGATGCCTAAAGGAAATGTCGGACTGCTAGGCCAGATACCAACCTGTCAAGGAATGAATCATCTTACTTAATGTCAAATACCTGGCCACGTGGGCAGCTGTGCAAAAGAGCTGAATAGTCTGAACAGATGGAGCACTCCTCTCTCATTACTGGTCATTGTCACGCTGCTGCCAGGCGTGCAGCCACCACCTTCCTCAGTTTCCTCATCGACAGGCTAAGCAAGCTCAGTACTTCATCAGCTTTAGGCATGTCCATGGAAAGTCTCTGCTGCACCAGGGCTTCAGACAGGAGGAAAAATGGGAGACGGGAGATGTTTGCAAATTACACAAATATGTGATTAATACTTGTCCTGAACATCAGCAGATGGACATCAGGACTTGGTGCAAATGTCCCTTCAAGCCTGTAAACAAGAAGGTTGTGAGATAATCTCAGCTTGTAAATGAGCTTCATTACAGCAGAGCAGGAGGGTCCCAGCCCACAGCAGGGCCGCAGCAGCAGCCTTGCTGGGGGACACATCCTCACTCAGCATTTCATTGCCCACGAATGCCTGAAGCAGAGACCTATGCTGTGATCTCAGCCACGTCCAAACATCCTTCTGCCCACATCTGCTCAGTGCTCCCCCGAAACCTCTCCCAGCTGTGGGCTCAGAAACACAGGGATTGCTCCATGTCACTTAAATAGGTGCAAACCCCCACAGTTACCCCAAATCCCTGAGGCTCAAGAGAGTGGAAAGCAAAGCCTTGTGATCCTACATGAAGGTCTGTTCTGAACAGCCTGGTCAGCACCAAGGGCTCCTTCAAGGGAAGGCACAGCTCATGCTCTGCCGTGATGCAGGGATTTCTGAGCAGCTGCTTACAAACAAAACTCACCTGCCTTCTTCCAGATGCAGCTTGCTGAACTCCTTAAGGTTAGGGAGTTTGATTAAAGAGGTCTCCTCACTGGCCCTCAGAAGGTGGTTTTGATGGGGCCTCAAAAGAGGGGTTGCTGGGGCAGGTTAAAAGCTTCCTATCTGTATCTCTGACTTGTTTGACATCACTAATGTTTCTATCATGTCTTGATTAAACATGAGTAGTGTCAGGGTAGGGCATTTCTCTTGAGTTTTCTGGGAGAATCCTTAAGTCTACTGTTAATACATCAGGTCAGAACCTTATAATTTCTGTGAAATGTTATTAAAATAATTTAATTTCTTCATTTTTTAGTAAATTTCATTTTTAATGAGTCAATAGAAAATTGAAATAAACTTAATGCCTTAATTTCAGCTAGAAAACTCTGCTTTGTCTTTACCAAGAAAACCGCCCAAACCAAGGTTTTTGCCTTTTTTTTCAGTTCCTGTATGATTTTGTCAAAATCAAACAGCTTTCATTAAATATTTAAACATTAATAAAGCTTGATTTTTCTTCAGAAAACTTCTCAAAGCCTACCTTCATAATTTCAGCACCCTGAATGACAAACTCAGCACAGAAGCAGACAGGTTTGACCAGGACCCATCAGGCATTAGAGTCTGCACTATTTTGTCAGTGGAAATCCACCACATTTTGATCTATGACAGATAGGTGGATCCAGCTCCTAGTTATTGGACTTTCTGTCCAGGTATGAAGGGAGAACAATTCCCCATCTGACATTTGCAATTATCTCATGTCACACATAAATGGAAAAATATCTCCTCACGTTTGCAATAAAATTTCAGTTTTCCATATAACATGACATGATAATAACTTGTGCTATTTTCATAGAGCAATAGTGTAAGAGATATGCTGCCAATGAGCCAGTAATAATACTAGGGAAAAAAAAAGGTCTAATGTGATTATGCTTATCTTTTTAAATAAATGCCATTAGAGGCCAGCCACAGTAATTGCCTCCATTGAAGAAAAAAAAAAAAAAAAAAAAAAAAAAAAAAAAAAAGAAAAAAAAAAAAAAAAAAAAAAGAAATAGAAAGGAATGGTGCAAAGCAGTAATCTCATACTCAATTAAGCAATGCTGACTCCTGAAATGTCTTTCAGCTTATGTTTCCCCAGGAAAAGAAAAACAAACTAATTTAGATGAGCTGAAAGTAGTGAATTTATGTATGAGCTGAGATACAGATTGTATGCACTTTAACAGCTCAGACCTGGAGAGATGTATCTTCATTTTACAAACAGAGAAATAAAAAAGGGTAAAAAATAAAAATCAAGATAAGGAGAAAAATAAAATACAAGTATCTAAACTAAGCACATTACTGCAATTTTTAACTATGGAGGAAGTCCCCCTCTCTCTGACATTTGCACATGACTACTCAGTTATCAGCTCAGGGCTCCAGATGCGTGCAAGATAGACATATTCTCACAAGACATCAGTATCAGGCCTAGGAACAGAAACAGGAACAGAAATTCCTGAGGTTTTAAACCACAAGATTATTCAGTGCTGAATTTTAGAAGATAGGCAGTATGAGATACAGACAGAAAATGGTAACTTGTGTGATCCATGTTTAAGCAGAAGTTTCCTATCAAATAATATTTGAAGCACCACCATACCCCCACAGCACCCTCCTGTATATTAAGCATTTCTCCCAAAACCTTCTTCTCCTCATAAGGCCATTCAGCATATCATTTTATTCACAATTCTCCTGTATTTCATCTGGAAATTTCTAGAGTGTTATAAACACCCTACTGTGCTTTCAAAACCTAGACTTGTTTAGGATTAATTGTAATTCAGCCCAGAACATGGGAATAATAAATCTTTAATCCCTGAAGATCTGATAATCCAATGGAAGCAATGGAAGGATGGAAGGATGGAATGAGTCTTCCCCACTGGTGTCTTTTCAGTGGGTTTAGTTTGAGCTCCAGCACTTGGATCCACACTCAAGAGAGAGCACTCCCTGCTGGGTGTGAAATAAACAATGACAGATAAAAGTCATTCCCTTACCAGCCTTTTCCTGTGCTGGATTTACTACAAACGTGACTTTTAATGCTGTTTTATTTAAATAAGCGTTTGGTTTTGTTTTTGTTTGTTTGGTTTTTTGTTGTTGTTATGGCCCCTGGTAAGTCCCACGATGTTTGTACCAGGTGCAAGACACAACCATGCTGAGAGAACAAGGAGCTCACTCCTTCCTTTCACTGCTATTCAACGTTTATTAATTGCTCAGAGGTTGTCCCCCTAGATTGAGCAAGGCAAAAACTCAGCTTTCCACTTAAAAAGAAACTCGGTGACTTTGAAAAAAGACATTCTAAGAGCATCATCTGTGCTTGTTCATCAGGTGGCTGAAGACATTTTCCATCCTGCACGGCGAAGAGGTCTGTGGTTCGAGGCGCTCTGCTCCGCGCTCTGCTGGCGGCGGTAAAATGCTGTTTCTCGGAGGATGAGCCCGAGATGAGAGCGCAGCCCGCGCTGCGTTACATGGCAGCGCTTGTCATCATCACAGCCATGGTGCTCGATAACGACGTGCTTGTAGCGCTGCCTGACAACAGAAGTACATCCCTAAACACTGTTCTGTCTAGACTGGGGAATTCTGCAGAAAAGCATCACTTGTGAGCATCCCTGCATATCCCAATCCTCAGCGAACATCTGCTCTCGAAACAACGCTTCTGCTTCGAATCGCAACGCCTTCACCTTTCATCGCGTACCACTCATCCTTCCATAGGGGAGACCCAATCCGTGCATTAACCCCTTCCTCCCCTCGCACCAGCGATCGGCCGCGCCCGGGGTCCCACTCCCGCCCCCCCCGCTCGGCGCACCCGCCCTTCGCCACGAAGCTCCCGTAAGCACCGACGTGTCCGCGCCCCCCGGGCCCCCCCGCATCCCCGCCCCGGCCGGCCGGTCCCCCGCCCGCGCCGCTCCGCAGCCGCACCGGAGCCGCTCGGGGCGGCGGCGGCGAGCGCGGCTCCGGCACCAACTTTGGGAGCGGAGCGAGCGGAGCGTCCCCGGCGGGGGCGGGCGGCCAGGCTGGGGCCGGCGGCGCGGATGGCGCTGGGCGCGGGGGAGCTGCCGGGGCGGCTGCTGGCGCTGCTCTGGCCGGCGCTGGTGCTGGCGGCCGCCGCGGCCGCGCTGCTCGTCCTGCGGGGGCTGCGGGACCGAGGGGCCGCGCCGGGACCCCCCCGGCCCCGCGCCGCCGGGGAGGCGCAGGAGGAGGAGGAGGAAGAGGAGGAGGAGGAGGAGGAGGGGGATGGCCCCGCGGGGGCCGGCGGCCGGCCGGCCGGGGCGCTGCCGGCGCGGCAGCCGGAGGAACAAAGGCGCACGGCGCAGGTAAGGGTAGTGGGGGGTCGCGCCTCGCCCGCTCCCCGGGACGGGGCGAGCATCCTTCCCTCTTTGCTCCCCGGCATCTTTTCGGGGTAGAGAACACTCCTGCACCCTCTGCGTGCGGCCCCCACCGGGCTGCTGCCATCCCATCTCACTCGTCTCATCCCATATCATCCCGTGCCGCCCAGGACGCACCGTCCCGAACCTCTCGATGTGATTTAGGGGTTAGGGGTTTCAGCATTCCCGTTAACCCTGTGGTGCCAACAAGGTTGACAGGGAAAGGCAGCAGGTCGCCCGAGCACCTGGCTGGGGGCTGCTGACACTGGCCTTTCATCCGCCGTTCTGGCTGACAGCGTAACTCCAAATGAGATGGATCCCCTTTGCAGGGAATTAAGAAAACTCCAGTTAATGTCCATCATATTAAGAAGCAATATACAAGATTAGTATCCATACTACGGTGTTAATCAATGTGCTAATTATGTGTATTTACTCCAAATCAAAGCTCTGTTAGTGTTAGTGTATGAATACTGTGAGCTGATGACCATGGCCACCCTGTTGAATATATGCTGTGAGTTTGATTTGATGCACAGTGTTGAAGTTTCTGTATGACATTGTCATGACGGTTGCTTTGACGCACTATAAGCTGTCTGTAGCAGAAAATCTCAGTGTAAATTACAGAAAACAATTTCACTGAGGCAGTGCAATATGGAAAGCTCTCAGAATAACTTACCAAACATAAGTATGTACTTAAAATTAGTACACTGAGCTTTTTTAAACATTTTAATCTGTTACTATTGTCTCCTAGGTCTCATTTCTGAGCAAGACAAACAAAATGAATTTGCAGGATTTTTTTTTTAAGTGTGCTATAAAATAAGTGGGTTTGTTCCTCAGGAACAGAAATGTGTCAGGCTTTCTATTATTAGTTTTCAAGGGTTTATTATTTTGTCATGGATGCTTTAGCTTTTAGTTGTATTATAGTTATCTTTTAAAAAATGATTCAATTCTAGATAATTTTTTCTTTCATCAGTCAGAGAAGAATCTTGACCTGGCAGCACAAGTACCCCTGAATTAGTAAAGAACAATTAAATCCAAAAACAATCTGAACAGAGCTGCCAGTGTCAAGGGGTAAAGAAGGATTTCAGTAACAATTTTATCATACCTTTATAATCATCAATACTAGATGACTTGAGTTGTCTGCAGAACAAATGGAAATTTTCCAGAGCTGCCAATACTGGAGGCTGTGTGGGACAGAAAGGGGAGAAACCCACTTTATTGTTTAATCTGTTACTATTATCTCCTAGGTCTCATTTTTGAGAAAGACAAACAAAATGAATTTGCAGGGGGTTTTTTAAATGTTTGCTATAAAATAAGTGGTTTTGTTCTTCATGAACAGAAATGTGTCAGAGACATTCCAGGTGCTGTGATGGTGGCAGGGTTATTAGTTCAAGCTTATGGCATTGATTTGAATAGATATCTTCTAGTCAGAGATGCTGCATCTCACAGGCCTAAGTAACAGAAACCAAAGAACAGGAATGATAACCTGAAGGGATAAATTTGTTTACAGTCATGTGCAGTTTCTGCCATTAATCTCATCTTTTCCAATGCTGAGCAATTCCTACTCTTTAGGAACTGGGCTCTAGCAGTTGCATTTACACAGTAGCATCATCTTCTGTATGAGACGCCCTGATTATCATGCAGGGTGTGGAAAACATAGTCCTGAGGAGGTGGAGAACGACAAGAGAATGATCAAGAAAAATAACTTAAAAGATCCTAAAGATAGATAACCCAGAGAAAATTTCTTGCATGCTGAAATGAAAAACGAAGGCTTGTTCTCCCATGACAATACCATGCCCTTTCCTTTCTGTTTGTCTCTTTTGTTTTCTTTTCCCCATCATACCTTCTCCACTGCTCCTTGTCATTTCCCATCAGGTTCTCTCTGTCTTTGGAACATCATATCCTTGAGGCAAAAACTGTATCTCCTTATTTAAGTGTAAAATGCTGCCCTGCTTTGGCACTTAGCTGATGGGAGGATGCCAGAACAGCCAAACACCTTTGATATGCTGAAATTTGCATATGAAAATCTCCACCAAAGCAGCAGCAGAGGTGCCATTAATAACAAAGTCTCCCATTCATACACATGGCCAATGTGATAAGATGGGGTGTGCAGGTATTGCAGGATGGGAGGATGGGACCCCCTCTCTGCTGCCTGCTGAGATATGAAAAAGACAAGACACAAACTGCCTCCAGTGCTCAGGTGTGTTGATACATCCCAGCAGCCAAACATCTGCATATCCTGGAGTGGTGGATAAGTCAAGATCTTAATTAAAAGAACCTAGGTGGTTAATTATTTTTTCAGTTTGGGAATGCATGTTTACCAGTGATTCCCAGTTGCTGCCCCAGGGGTGGGCTGTCTGGTTGCCTTCCCATGAAATCTGCTCTTACTTGGCTGCAGGATGATGTAGGACTGATCTTCCCTTTGTGTGTCCCTACTCCCCATTGCAATAGGCAGACAGACACTCTCCAGGAGCCATGGTCCCTGTTAGACCCAGCCAGATTGGCTTCAACAGCCCATGTGAGATCAGTCTGTTGAACAGACTTTCATTGAATCATGGAATGGTTTGGGTTGGAAGGGGACCTTTAAGATCATCAGGTTCCAACTCCCTTGCTGTGGGCAGGAACACCTTTCACTAGACCAGGTTGCTCAGAGCTCCATCCAATCTGTCCTTGAATACCTCCAGGGATGGGGCACCCACTGCTTCCCTGGGCAACCTGTTCCAGTGCCTCACCGTCCTCACGGCAAAGAACTTCTTCCTAATATCTAATCTAAACCTCCTCTCTTTCAATTTGAACTCATTCCCTCATTCCCCCTTGTCCTCTTACTACATGCTCTTATAAATAGTTATGCCCTATCTTCCCTTGAAGTTCCCTTCAGGTAGGGGAAGGCCTCAGTTGGATCTCTGGTCTAGGAATGGTAATCCCCAATTTAGTGCACCCACCAAGATTCCCCAAAACCACACGCTCCTCCCTTCTGCTCCGAAGCTTTTCCCCTCCCACCTGCAGTGGGATGGACTTGAGACTTGGAGGCACAAAAGGTAAAGATCTTAAACTGAGATAAGATAATTTTACTGGAAACAGCAACGAGATTAAAAAAAAAAAAAAAAAAAAAAAAAAAAAAAAAAAAAAAAAAAAAAAAAAAAAAAAAAAAAAAACAAACAAACAAACAAACAACCAAAAAAACCGGGAAAAGGAATAATACGAATGACACAGGGTACAAGAAAATAAATTATTTTCACAGAAAACCCCTTGACAGTAGACAATACCAGACGGGAAGGACTCCCTTCTCCCCAAAAGAGTCCCTTCCCTTGGCACCCCAGCTAATGACAGTAAGGTGGGATAGAAAAAGCTCCGGGTCCTGGCCCTCAGAGTTTCCGCAAAAAAATTAACCCTGTCCTGCCCAGAACCAGGGCAGTCACGCTGAGGTCTTCTCTTTTGCAGGCTGAACAACCCAAATTCTCTCAAGACTTTCCTCATAGCAGAGGCTCCATCCCTCTGATCAGCTAGGTGGCCTTCTCTGGACTCACTCCAACAGCTCCATGTCCTTCCTGTGCTGGGACCCCAGGGCTGGATGCTGCACTGGAGGTGGGGTCTCAGCAGGGCAGAGCAGAGCCCTGGGGCAGAATCCCCCCTCCTCTGGTGCTTTGGGTGCAGCCAGGACACACTTGGCTTTCTGGGCTGTGAGAACACGTGGCTGTGTCATGTCCAGCCTCTCACCCACCACTGTGGTCCAATGGTTTCATGGCCTCCACACAACCATGCAAGCACACTTTGAATGTGATCTCATTATGCATAGAACAAAACAAGTTACATTCTGGCTGTTGTCACATAGCCACACACACACCAAAAAAAAAGTCTGGAAATTATGCTGAGAGTGTTTAGCCTTTTTCAGGATTGCCTTTTCCCTAATTCTGGGAAATTGCTAATGGGACTTGCTGGAAGCCAACTGATCTGAATGGCAGTTTTTGATTTGAGATGTTTGTGTTTATTCAAAGTTTTTGAGCTGTTCTGCAAATTGGTCAGTTGTAAAGAAGAACATTTTTTACAAATGCAGTGACATCATCTTCCTTAAAAAACTTCTAAAAATATGTGCTATCTGATACATTCCAAAAGAAAGCTTTATGCTTTTCTGAAGTTTTTTTATAAACTGGAGATACTTTTTGCTTCTTGCAGGATTGCTTAACAGTACCAGAACTACATATCCATCCCTTCAGCTTCAGAATTTCACAAATAGATGGGTTTTTTTTACCTTTTCAGGTTACACAGTATTTTTCATGCCAATGAAACACAGTTGCACAATTATTGTTATACAGCTATCTTGGATGAGAATTGATTTTTAAAGTATCCTGGAAGGTGTTGGAGTTTGGTAATTGCCTCCTTAAAATGGAGCTGTTATCCCTTGTTGAGATGGTGCTCTAATTAATCAGAATAGAAGATGCCAGGAAACTGATTTCTTCTTCCCTCCTCACAACAGTAGTTTTAATCTACTCATGCTACAGAAACTCTTTCCCCAGATATGTTTTTTTCCCCTGATGATGAGAGCAGCTAAACCAAAGCAGATACATGTCAGGTATGATTGTGTTTATGGCTGCTGTGTGGCTTCTGATGTGTCCA